CCTTGGTTCAGGTGTGTACCTGATGTGGCTACATCAATTCGTGACACGTACCGAAGACAACATAATAATATGTTGTGTTGTGCTGGTCGTGTGATGGCACGCCCGACCATCATGTGGAATGTAGCAAATAGTGGCAACGGCTTGAATTTGATGCAGACGTGTACCAGCGATCCACCTGCAACCTGCTATGTTGAGGATTATAGATGTTCTAGGCACCTTTTGCAACGCGGGTTGGAGTCAGGGTTCGTTTCGCTGGCAACAGCAGTAGTGGTATTCGCGAAAGTTTTGTTGGCAACAGCAGGAATATTCGCGAAACCATTCACCTCCCTCCAACGGTGTCTCCATGCATGCATGTGGTTTATGGTTCGCGGCCGATGCGTGTTAGATGTCTGGCGTTACTCTCTGAAAAAGGGGAAGTCTAAGCCATGAGTTTCCGAGACGTCTGCGATTTGTTTGTGGGTGGAGACGCAGACAGACACACAACGACACCACCCGCAGCAGCAGCAGCAGNGAGATTCCTCACAAGTGAAAGGACATGGTGTACTACACGAGCCTTGGTTCAGGTGTGTATCTAATGTGGCTACATCAATTCGTGACACGTACCGAAGACTTATGTTGTGTTGTGCTGGTCGTGTGATGGCACGCCCGACCATCATGTGGAATGTACCAAATAGTTGCAACGGCTTGAATTTGATGCAGACGTATGCATTCTCACGAACACAGCAGTAGAGTAGGCATGCCATGCGAGTGAAAGGACGCACTTGCGGGCCTTTTCTGTCCACCGAATAAGAAATACAGGTGCTGTGGGAGAGGTCGATTGGACCGGAGCTGGCATTTTGGCATGTACGACGCACATATATTATCTGAAGAGGAGTGTAGATAATTTTGATCAAGCGGTTGCAGGTGCACCACGTGTGGTGTTCGTGAGTGGCAGTACCAGCGATCCACCTGCCACCTGCTATGTTGAGGATTATGGATAGTTCTAGGCACCTTTTGCAACACGGGTTGGAGTCAGGGTTCGTTTTGCTGGCAACAGCAGTAGTGGTATTCGCGAAAGTTTTGTTGCCAACAGCAGGAGTATTCGCGAAACCATTCACCTCCCTCCAACGGTGTCTCCATGCATGCATGTGGTTTATGGTTCGCGGCCGATGCGTGTTAGATCTGTGGCGTTACTCTCTGAAAAAGGGGAAGTCTAAGCCATGAGTTTCCGGGACGTCTGCGATTTGTTTGTGGGTGGAGACGCAGACAGACACACACCGACACCACCCGCAGCAGCAGCAGCAGCAGCAGCAGCGGAAACAGCACTATTAGTCGACAACACCTCTGCTTGTATAGATATCCCAGCCCCGAACGAATTCGCTGCCATGCCTGAATCAGAGGCAAGAGGGCACACGTTGACGACACGTTCACCACGAGACAAGGTGCTGCTCCGCCTCCAAAAATGCGCACAAATAGCGGACTTCCTCTTACTCCCACACGCGCTGTTGCCGTTTGAAATGTATCGCAGGCACCTCCAAGGCGAAGACCTTCATGGAGAAACCGTCGACCGTCCTAACCAATTTCAAGAGCTACAAGGCCGAGTACACGAAAGTGTGGCTCTGGCTTGACACGTAAGTTTTGCGGGCAAGTCGGATTCTCAGCGCAGCGTATTTCCCTCTCTCGTGGCGTCGCACACTCCGAAAACCGGAAGACGAAAGCAATGCAACCCTAATTCCGTGTGTGCAAAATCGACGGTGCTTGACGTGAGGATCTTCGTAAAATCACGAGGGTTCTTCATGCCTGTGTTGGTCAAGCATGTGTGTGCGTGCGTGTGTTTGTCGTTAAGTAGTCTACACAAAACGGGAGGATGAAGACACACACGCACTTTCATTGGTCAGCCGGTTAGCGCGGTCGATGCCAAATATTAAAATACAAACACACAGCGACAGAGACATGGACAAGGGAGGAGGGAGACACACCACCGGGAGAGCGAGACGGGAGGGTGTGCCCTGTACTACTGCTGTTGGCTATCGGTGGAGTAAGCGAGAGAAGAGAAGAAGCGTTTGGTTGTTGTGCGTCGTTGTTGTTGCGCGCTTTTTGCCAGCAGCGTTTTTTTTTTCGCATGAATCAGCGAGAGAGGCCCTTCTTGGAAGAGAGAGCCACACCAACACGCTACTAGACGCCACCATTGATTGTGCATGCACTGCTGTGCACCTCATTTTACTTTTGTGCGAGGGCCTTCTGCTGTGGAGTGTCACCTGTGCCTTCCCTGCTAGTCTGGTCACCTATCAAACGCGTGCCTTTGAGTTGCCAATTCAAAAACAGGAAAGAAACGTTTAGATAATGGGCACATATTGTTTTTCTGCAAGATGATTGCCACCCCCCCCAGGATTCGAAACGCACCAGCGTACTGCAGGTATATAGCTTGTACTTCCCACCCTCTAGTTTTGCCCTGCGCAAAATGAATGACATGACGTAGTTGGGCGTGCCTCGTCGTAAACAAAAAATAACGAAGCCGGGACAGCGGCAACACTAAAGGTTGAAAACATGTTGCTACGCGTGGTCGAAAACACTGCTGTGATATACCTACGTATCCGCTCACCTCGAATCCGTTTTGTTCCCTGTGCGTTTTTTTTTTTGTGTCAGGAACGACAAGAACACATCGTCTGAGCTGCCGTCTGGGACCAACACTCAGGACTCCCTAGAGGAGCTCAACGACGCCATGTGGTTCGAGTCGGACATGTACAAGCGGGACAAGGCTAGATCGGACAAGGCAGACGCTGAGGTTGCGGCTTTCTTCTCTCGGGGGGCGGCGGGGAGCGTCGACCCCGCCGGCTCCCCAGCCGGCTCCCCCGCTACCGGGGCAGGCACCGGGGAGAGCGTTGACAGAGCAGGGAGTCCACCTGCAGGTCAGTGACCGGCGGCGCAAGCGGCGTTGGCTGAGACGGAGGTCCGCCAGGAACCGGGAAGTACCCCGATGTCGTTGGCCGCCGCCGCCGCCAACATCGGCCGGGAACAGGAGCGAGAGCAGGATAAGGGCGGGGACGAGGGCAAGCACGAGGGCGAGGAGGTGCCTGAGTGGTGGGTCTTCCCCTTCCTGCTTCTCACAGCGGCGTACAGCCCGTGGAGCGGTCAGGCCCCGTCGGAGTGGAAGCACCTCGACTCTTCGGACGGGCCGTCTATAAAGCGGAAGGGCGGGGACGTCACCGTGGACTCTGAAAACCCCGTGTGCAGCCCCGCGGTGATGTCTCGCCTCAACCCCAACGGCGACGCTTTGAGCCGAAGGAGCAGTAGAGGAAAGCAGCGGCCCACAAGGAACTTCAAGAAGCCCGGAAGGAAGCCCTTGAGACGAAGAAGAAGGGCCTGGCCGCCTTGGAGGCTGCGAACACACACATCGAGACCATAGGCGCGAACATGAAGAGGATGGTCGAG